CAACATGAAATGAACAAACCTAAGAGAGGTCTACCCAAGGTACATATACACCAAGTATCAAAGCATTCAGGCTTGTAGTTTTCAAGAAGAAGTCGAAAAAGTATAACAGTGACACGGACGACGACGGAGACGGACAATCACTCATATGATAAGCTCCGCTCGACAAAGTCCACAGCAGAGCTAATGATAAGATACACAAGATTGCATCATTATGCAACGTTATCAGATGTTTTTAGCTACTAGTACCTACCTACTCTATCAATGATGGTCAGGTCATATGTCAAGGTTCAAAGGTCATACATACACAACAACACACTATCAATTGTATTCAAATGACATACAAATGTTTTATCACATACTTTTTTCTAAAATACTCATTATAAAGTACTTTGTCTGTGGGAATCTCAAAGACAAGAACAGGTGCAGAAGAACATTTATAAATAATGTCATATGGTCATCATATAACCCATTGGTAGTGAGTTGAGTGTAGTAATACCATGCTACTCGTTACAACCTTTGACCAAACTTACAAATTGGTAATTAAAACACAATTATTTTTGCATACTAATTAACTAAAATGTAAAATATTCCCATTATAAACCCCCTCCCAAATCAGTCACTCAAAGCTCCACTGTGTTGAGTTTGATACGGCTCATATGTGATGAATACAATGCATAAAAAGTACATTGTTAGCACAGGATTCAAAAGAGTGTGGCAAGGAGACTGTGCCTCATTAACATTCAAGTACAACTGCTCTATTATTAGTTATTCTAAAGTAACTGTTACATAACCACCTGTGTTAAATTAGTATGTACATTGTATTTGAAAATTGATTTATTTTATTCAATGTCATTGTCGTATATGGTCAATATTGTGTATTCAGATAACATGGTTACTGTTAACCATTTTATTTCCACATTTAGTTTTGACATTTTCATAATCTAGCAAAATTTGTGAGCATGACATTTTGCAAAAGTCACTGTGACTCCCTAGGACCCTACTGAAAGTCACTGTAACTCCCTAGGACCATAACAAAAGTCACACTGCTGTCTTCAAGATTCAAAATGCATTTTTATTGCTGCAAAATTTTGTAGTTTCTCAGTCTCAAAAAATGTGTTTGAATAAAAAAATGTATTTACAGTATGTCAATAGTCACTATTATCTTGTATGGTGTAGAATATATTATTTTTAACTTGAAGTTTATATTCACCGAAGTGGGTAAATGCAGTGAAAATACTCTCACTCACTGGTTGCATGGAGTTAAATGCCAAAATCAGTCATTATGCTAATCCAAAATTTGCTGTTTTCAACAAAAATAAATATGAGCTAAAATAAAGTAATTAGTAGCACATTTCCAAGAGCTTATACTGTAGAAGTAGATAAATTCACTGGGTTTAATTTTAAGGGATTATATATTGCAGTAATATTTACTAGGTTTTAAATTAATGGTTTGTGAAGGAACATTCTACTATTAACTTTGTATGTCCTTATTAACTAGTAACTAGCTATCAGTGGAATAATCAAAAATATAATCCAGCATATAATCAAGTCCTAGAGACTAAACTAATAAAGTTACAAGTGTATGTATTAGAGTTCTGATATTAATAGAGAAAATAAGATAATTTAAAAACAGGGAAATAATAAAACACACTCAACTAAAAACAGAAAAAAATAATGCATAGATATGGAGTGTTGAATAAATTAATCAAAGTAAAAACAACACTGAATTTTATATCCAGGTGATGGCTGTTGCTAAGGCATAATAAATGCATTTGCCACATTCATCAAAATTTGATGAATATTCCATAGAAACAGATGGTCTCACAACAGAATTGGAAAATTCAATTTTAGCATTGAGGTAATAAGCAGACAAGTTCACTGACCTTTACCCTTTAGCTATGTATCAGTAACAAAGACATTCATCTATTTGACCTCCAAATTGTCTATTGTTCTGTCTTTTTCTCTCTTTTGGCGAGGGGTTCATTTATATTGGGAATGTATATCTCTATTCCATTGTGATATATGTGGGTGGCAGGTGGGATATTCTTTTCATTTGAAACATTTGCTTGCAATATTTTAAAAAACGCTTGAATGATTTGTTTCATTAAGACATTCATGAAAACCATTAGCCGTTTCTTAAATGGGTGTGCCTGTGTTATAATTTTTAAGTCATTGCTAAAAAAAAATCATACAATACACATGCATTTACTGTTAGGGGGGGTTAATATTAGTTTTATTGTAATAATATTAATTCTTGTGTGAACAGCGGGTGGGGAAAATGAGATACAGACACCAACCCGGAAATTGAAAAGGAAAATAATAAGATTACGATTTGTCGAAATCTTATCTTCAAGATAGCTTGACTCGTCTCTCCTTTTAACTTCAGACATTCGGTGGACCACAACAAAATTTTATCGGATAACGAAACAAAAATTTGAATGATTCGTCGATATCTGCAACCTGTAGAAGAACGTTTCTACATTATGCACGTTCCGTATTCGTTTCGATCATGCACATATGTGTACTCTGGAAAAACCCACTATTTAATATAATATTTTTTCCAAAAACAGAGAGAATCCATACACCGATCAGGATAATGTTTGGTTTTATCGCTCAGTATAGTGTTTTGAGACAACGTTGGCACACTCTCAAAACACACATAGTGGTTGGTCTGTGAGCATGAATGAAATATCGGTCAGCTGGTAGGGGTTTGCCTACGTGGACAAACTGAGCGAGGACTCGTGCGATTTTCAGTCATTTTGTCTGTAAACAGGACACCATCGGACAAAATGTACACACAGACGGGAAGAGTACAGCTACATCTTGTGTAATCCAGCGTTTAAATGATTAAAGAAGAAACAGCATTGAAGAATGCAGCAAAAATCTGTTGATATAAACCTACCTGCTTGAGACGACGGCGTCTGCTCTTCTTGTCGTCCGTATCGAAGTCAAAAGACGGGGGTGGACTCGTCGCTTTGAAGCCGAAAGCAAACACTAAACCAACCAGAACAATCACACTGACCACAGGCAGTGAAAACTGCAGCGTTGTTAGCTTGTCGATCTCCATATGTCAATGAAATTCTGTGTAATTCTGTTCCAAAAACTAAAAAATAACTAGCGAGCACGGAACAACAACACACTACCTTGATTCAATGAGTTTCAATATGGAAGCAATACTGATGACGTCACTTAGTAATTGGTTATTAATTCCGTGACGTCATCAAAACTCGCGGTACAATGCAAAGCCACTTCAGATAAAATTTTTTAACACGTATTCCCGAGACATCATGCACTAAAGAAAAAAACCCAGAAATAATGAAAACATCTAAAACACAGCCGTATGGAATATATTTTCCATGAAACTGCAATTCTACTCGTAGCTTGTTTTAGGTGGCAATTTTTCAGGTTTTTCAATTTTGTGAGTGAATGCAGAGATGTTCAACTTCAACTTCAAAGCTGCGTTGCAGCAAACTGCGAGCAAAGAAGATGATCACCAACCTTGCAAAAGCAATAAATCATTCCCAATCACTGTGCGGGATATGATATTCTTGGATAATAGTATTATATTCCACCGTAAAGTACAATAACGAAGTACAAATTGACTGACCTCACTCAAAATAACACACACGCTGCGGAGAGAAAATTTTGCAATTTTTGCAATGCTAATTTCAAGCCTATCTATAAAATGTAATAAGAATTCACGTGGAATTTGAATCTCTCAAACTGAAAATGTTAACAAAAAATGGGAAACACGCTTCTTGAGTGTGCGAATACACAATGATGTTCTGTCATCCTGGCTGTCCACTCAGCAGAACCATGGAACTATAGTTCCATGGCAGAACGTACGTCACCGGGAAAACAGATTTGGAATCTAATTAGGCTTTAATCATATTTTGTATTAACTGAAATTTCCACTTTGACTTGCAGTGCCATCACGTATCCAACTTCGAACAATGCTGCAATTGTGTATTCCTTTTTATTAGTGGATACTGTATACTGCCATCATCGGCCTTGTTGAGAGGTTTTACAAGCTCACTATTTAATCCTGATGGATAACTTGTCTCTAAAAATCGTAATTTATTTTGGTTAAACACATTTCATTTATAATAAACAGCCTTATTATATTCTAAATAATTTGTCAATGCAATTTTCAAAGGCTTTATCATGACAGTTCTCTATTCAAGTTGTTGGGTCCGATTAGCTTTAATTTAATCAAAATACGACTAAGCTTAGTGTATTTAATAACCAGTCTGCATCCCATCTCATACAGCTTTTGCTGACACGTTTTTTTGTATCTGATCACACACATCCTTCCAATATATGAAAAATTCTATCTGGAAATTCCAAGATCACTCCATGATGTAAGCGTGCCTTCCGTATTATGTAGGCTGCCCTCTATGGCCTGATATCCAATCAGTACCATAGTGAAGTAAAAAGGCATCAAAATCAAGGTATCACTTGCTTGTTTTTTCTCTGTATCTTAACATGAAAATCATATCAATTAGAGACAGCATCAAATTAGTTTTAATTGTAAAAAATGTATGTATGTATTTATTACCACCTCGGTGTAAAAATCACCGTGTTCCTATGCATATATATGTTGTAAATGAACATATATATATATATATAGGAATAGTCTGCTGCATGATTTTTATGATTGATATATTGCTGTATTACTGTGTTGCTATTCTGTGGTTTTACATTCAAAGAAATGCATAAACAATGTATATGTGACATATAATAATGTATTTTATGTTGGGTGTATGTTACAAAAATTTAGGGTTGGGTTTTACCATAAAATGTAAAAATAAAAACTATGATTTTTTTTAATGTAATTTTGAACTCTTCTTGCTCAAAAAATTGTAGGCTGAGCCCAATTTTTTTTTTCATTTTTGGTATCCTGACATTAAAGGACAGAGGTTGTCACGCCGCATCGTGTTCAATATGGGACTCATAGCGACGTATACAACCCATGTAAAATACATTGTTTGTTTACATGAAATTCGAACACGCACTGCGCGACGACCGCTTTAACTCATAATAATGAAAACAAGCAAAAAATGTAATCTTCAATTCGATCAATCCTCCTCAACTACAGAAAACGTGTTTTTATTGAAGTTCTTTTATGTTTTTTTTAACAGTCTCAAGTTCATTGCAATATGACACTTGACCTACAATTCTCAATATCTTGAATACAATTGTGTACAACTTTTGAGCATTTTCTGTTTCCTGCATTGCATCATGGGAAAGATTGACACACGAGACACTTGCATCAAATGAAGAACAGATATACAGTACATACTTCCAGATCATTAGACACTCAGATTAGCTTAAATAATAAAAGTTAGAAAGGCAATTTGGTTTTGGTCTCATCACTAACAAATTATTTAATTAAAGCAAACATCTAAATTTACATGTGCTGTACGTCACTTATCGAACATGATGCAGCATGACAACTGTAGTGCTTTAAAGGGCGGTAGTCGTCACGCCACGTCCTGTTCGATATGGGACTCATAGCAACGTATACAACGCGTGTAAAATACATTGTTCATTTACATGAAATTCGAACACGCACTGTGCAACGACCACCACGCTTTAACTTTCTAAAACTAATTTTGTTCAAAATATCAAATTTCAGTTTAGTGTTGACCATTATTTTAGCATTTTCATTATGCAGTGGTGAATATACAACCGTTTTCAGATGTACACATTTTTGTATGTGCCTAAAATACCAGTTATCACGTTACATTGCATTCACAAAAGAAACATATACAGCACACATATAATATGGACATAATCCAAACAAGTGCCGTAATATGACTGTGAAGCTAACTAACATGAACAACATTATAAAAATAACAAGAAATGTTCAGTTATCCATACTTCATCGTCATAGTTACAAATCATTGTAAATGGACCAAAAACTGATATGTTTGTCCTTGGAGCCAGCTGCCAGCAATCCAGGATATCCTTGCAGTGTGGAGAACGCAAGACAATGTACAGTGTCTCTATGGTAACACAACACTGCTAGAGGTTTCAATTTTTTAAAACTAAAAATCCTGATTCTAGAATCCCATCCTGCAGTTGCTAAAATTCTGTCATCATCTCGAATATTAACGTCTGATATCCCAGCGTTAGTTAGAGTCAATTTGGTTTCACATTTTATTTCCATAGCCTCGTTCACAAACCATGATGATAGCTTGTCATCCGCAGAACCAGATACACCCCGCCGCTGAGAAATGGAATAGTCCAATCCCATCACTGACTCATTATGAACTTTGACACGATTGAGAATTTTTACCATAGATATATCCCACAATGCAATGCTCCCATCTTCATAACCAGCAAGTAGGCATGGTCTATCTTCGGATGAGGAGACAAACTTCATCCTCATTACCATACCTAGCGCTCTTGCGCCCTCTATGGGTACTAATGATGAGATTTTTTCAGCTGTCTCAAATTTATAAATGTCAACTACAGAGGGCTCCTTCCCAGGAACAGCCAGCATATTGGCTTTCTTTGAAAAGGTACACTGGCAAAATCCTGCAGCATCGTAAGAAAAGGTTGAGATAACATCACAGTGACCTTTCGACAAATCCCAGCATTTTATTCTACAGTCTCGCCCTTGACTGATGAATTTACCATTGTCAATCATATTAGCCCATAAAATACCATTCCCATCATGCACTTCGACAGTAGATTGAAGTCTTCTCGTCTGTAGATTCCATAATTGTACTAATCCATTTCCACAGCCTGATAGAATGAATGGTTCTGTAGAACTGCCTGAACAAAACTGCAGAGTATTAATAGGGCCATCGGAGCCTCTCAGTACAAATAGTGGATCGGGTGACGTTCCCATGGTAATCAGACTGACCAAATAGCCAGTATTGTTTTACCTTTACCACACTTGACCTTAGGAGCATGTTTTAGATGGAATCATTGGAGGTGTTGTCCCTTTAGTCCTCGATTAGTCACTAGTCGTGACTAGTTGTTAGGTGCGCCATCTACGGCAACAAACATTTATTATTGCGTCAATATTACCCACAAATCCTTGCATACCACAGCAAAATGGCGTCCACGCGGTGTACGGAAGTCGATTTATTCTTTTTAAATTTGAAATAACCCCCGTTCGGTAGGTAATCCTTTTGATATTTAAGTCGTAAGTTCCAGTTGTTGACTTGCTGTAATGAGTCCACTAAATGAGTATCGTCGCCGATGCCAAATTCAACATCATTCATTCAATAGTACTCGTTTTTTGTGTTGTTGATTCATCCTGACGTTGGAATCACAATGATTCAACGTATTACTATTATAACGGATCTCACTGTACTATTCGGATGATCTCCAAAACAGTGTTCCCTACACTGGAAGGAAGACTGCCAGCGGGACAGAAGACACACGAATTCGTGTGATTAATCTGTAATAGCCCCACAACAAAGCCCAGTCCGAAAACAATAGTCTGTGAACAACAACAATATTTTAAGATTGCGCCAGTGAATCTTGTTTGTTTTTGAAGGCCGAAAAGGACTATCGTGGTCGCAAAAGGTCGCGTACACAATGAACGTCCATACTCACATTCACACCGCGAAGACGTGATGTGCAAGTACATATATGTAAGGAAAGGTGGAAGTTACTGGTTCAACAGGTTTTAATTTGTTTTGAAAAACAATTACTATGCAAGTCGATTTTTCTCACTACAACGAAGAGGCAATCCACAACAAAATTAATTTTGATTATATTTCGCTGTATATCGACACTTTTCATTAAACCTGTTCCTAGCAAAATCTGTTGTCACAAATAGACAGTTCAGGATCGTTTTAGGATAAGTCGGTGTAGTATTATTACACGTTTAAGCTTCAATGTGGCAGGATTAATATCTACACACATAGTTCTTGATGTTGAAGATTTATTATTGTTTTAAACCACAGTCCCTCATTTGAGGGACTGTGTTTAAACACACCTAGATTGCGACAACATAGCCCTGTATTATCCAGCGATGTTCTAAACACCAATGTTCGTGGCAGGTGAATGTGTTGTCCACAACAAAATTAATTTTGATTATATTTCGCTGTATATCGACACTTTTCATTAAACCTGTTCCTAGCAAAATCTGTTGTCACAAATAGACAGTTCAGGATCGTTTTAGGATAAGTCGGTGTAGTATTATTACACGTTTAAGCTTCAATGTGGCAGGATTAATATCTACACACGTAGTTCTTGATGTTAAAGATTTATTATTGTTTTAAACCACAGTCCCTCATTTGAGGGACTGTGTTTAAACACACCTAGATTGCGACAACATAGCCCTGTATTGTCCAGCGATGTTCTAAACACCAATGTTCGTGGCAGGTGAATGTGTTGTCCAAGAAAGAAACTACAAACACATGACATGCAACCAAACCATGCAGCCAACAAGATATTATTCAGGGTTGCTTATGAATCACAAATGTTGCTTCCCAAACTCCCAATATTAATGAGGGATGTACTAATCAGAGTCGTTGTTTTAAACTTGTCCATTGAAGTTCTTTGTACTATGCTACATTGTTCCTTGTTATTTACATATTTTATAGTCACTCTGAGTCACCGAGTCACAGTCAGTATTATTCATCACATTGCAATATTTCTTAACCACACAGTTATGGCAATGGCAACTACAGAAAATGCTGTTGAAGACTATGAACTCCGCTCATTGTTCAAGAGACTAAAAGTTGACCCGGAAAGGTAAGTACATTGAAAATAGCATAGGACTAATTTTTTTTAATAATATAATATGTTAATTATTATATCACAAAAAATATAGGGTTCTACCCAGAGTTATTTTTAATTCACTGTTGAAAAATACATGTGAACAAATTAATTAACCTGGTGTCTACCAAAATTAGTTCAGCTTGCAGAAAGCTGGTCCTTGAAATAAGACACTTGTGAACAGGGGTTAAAGGCTCAATTTAGTCGCAATGGCGATTGTTTCTTAGATAGTGACTATGCTAATAAGTGTTATTGACCCAGTGTTCTCCACGATGGGTTTTAACAGGGGACCTGTTTAAATCGTTATCACCCTGTGATATTACCTGTGCACTTGGTCTCTGACAAAAATTGTTTACAATACAGGCTATCACACATGTGTTCCCAAGATGACCTGCCATGCTAAGTGTGACTTCACGCGTCACCAGAAAATGACGGATAACTGTTTCATTGTTTTAAGGTGTACTGTGAAAATTCCGGCATTGTTATTGTAGCAGATGATAATACTTGCGTTCACGCACAGCTCCTTAGCATGGGCTAAGAGGTTAAATTCCTTAGCCCGTGCTAAGAAAACGCACAGGCTAAGGAATGCTAAGTACGGGTTAAATCTGATCCGAATTTATGACGCGGTCTAGACCTTAGCATGGGCTAACGAAGTATGCGCGAACGCTTAGCCCAGGGCTAAGCCCCCTCTGGGGCAACCTTTGGGTGTGAAAATTGTCCCATGTTCGTATAACGACACTATTCCACCAGTCATTACTCCGCACTCACTTCCACACTAATCGGGTCACTGTAGTAGAGTGTACAGCAGCTCCAATCGTAGACAAAATAAATTTGGTTTGCTGTCTATGACATGCATTAATAAAACGCTGTATTCTGTTACGCCCGTTGTATACTGTTTATGTGTATCCAAATAAGTGGTCCGTCTTCTCTCGCGTTCCTGTGCACGTCGCTTCAAAATTAGAACGAAACATGCCAGCAGCAGAAATAGAACCTCGCACGTGTCATCCATTTTTCATTCGTAAATAGCGGCTTACCAAAGGTCACCGACTAATGGCACCCCTTAGCATGTGCTAATATGCTAGATAAGCCTAATCAGCTTAAATCTTAGCCCGTACTTCGTGTAACGTGAACACAACTAATACCACCGAACAAAAAGTTGTTTTAACACACGTTCTTCTGGTTCTGTGTTCGTACAATAAATAAATAAAAACAAATGTTATTCACTGCACCACTTTCACTCTCTGGTGACATTAATTGACGGCAGTTAATTATTCAAGCTTAGTATTAGTAGCATGGAGGTTTGAAAATATAAGGTAGAAGCCTACTCATAAATTAAAAAACCCAGAATTTATTCATTTTGTGACATTTGTCAAATTATAAACATTTATATGTTCGTTCAAGCAAGCATTCGTGTGGACTACTTGATGACCGGCAATGTCTGTGATGGTACGTCGGCTGCATTGGTCGTTTATCGGTCATGATTTTAAGTGCATGGCTGCCCTTGTTTCGCTCGGCGGTGACGATGTTGCCGCTACAAGTCACAGCGTGAACTTGGTTTTAACCATAGACCTTATGTTTTAACGAATGGTTCTACCGATATTGATTTCATATATTTGACGTCACCCTGGCAGTAAAAATATAGTTCGGTAATACACTTTTCTAGGCCACAAATATTTTAATCGTGTTAAAAAATTGCAACTTCTTGTTCGGTGGTGTTATCCCATAAAAAATGCTCCAAAATGACCACTTTTATTATTTTGCATATATTTTCTTCCTTCATAATAACGTTAAATATGAATGATGTGTGTGTGAATCGTTACACAACAATTTTTAAATGATTTACTGTGATCAATTTTTGTTTTCATGTTTAATTGGTATTTAACCATGTATAAACCACATTGTAATTTACTACATTGTACTATATGCACCAAGACGAGGAGGTTGTTATATATCATTAATTGTTGTTCCTCAATAGACCCAGAATGAACTCTCGGCAAAGAACAAGAAAAAACAACTGCCAAGGAGATTGGTACCGGTATGTATTTAATGGGTCTGTGGTTAGGTAGATGCAAATTAATATTGAACATTGGTTTCCTTAGTGAATACATGTTCCTAAATTTAAAAAAAAAAGTACCCAAGACTGTGATATTTTCTCCTGCTTTGTCTTATAAAGCAAGTATCATATATATACATACTAATGTCCAGTGCTAAGGAGGGGAAATATAATGATTGCCAGTGCCATTTCTGAAGACAATTTTAAAACCTTGCGTCCTTTCCATATGTCACTTACTTTTTTCCTTTTTCTTCTCAGGAGCAAGTTTTTAAAATCATCAAAGCACTGTAGACGAATATCCAATAATGAACCGCCTATGCTTCAAAAGAAAATTGGTAGTTGGAAGTCTGTGGCCTGGCATCGAACTCATAATCCAAGATCAGAACCATACAAAGTGAACAATAATTCTGACCTGGATAAGTTTGATTCAAACGCTGAGAGTTGCACCAGTGGAGAGGTTCATATTAACAGAACAAACGTTAAGCTTAGTTTGCTTTCTATGAGTGAATGCGGACGCATGTTACATGGAAGGACAGCTATTAAGAATGAACCTATCATCTGTGGCTCTAAGTTGAAACCACACCGAAGTAGAAGACATCTAACAAACAATGCATTTTGTCAACTGCCAACTATTGAAGAAGATCGCTGTCAAGAAGAGGCTGCAACCGCTTCAATAAACCAAGAGAATAATGAGCTTACTCTCCCTGCGCATTTTAGCAAAATTGTCAATTTCAATTCGTTTGACAACTTAGCAAAATGCAGGGATAACAAGACTTCTGAGGACTTACATCGGAAGAAGAAACGTTGCTCTGACGGGAGCGAGAGTCTGTCCAAAGAAAGGAATTATAGTAAAGTTCCTAAATATAATTTCACTGATTATAGAACAGAATGCGAATCTAAAATATCACAATTTGGTGGCAAGAAAGACGCTAAGTCAAAACATTTTCCACAGCAGTCTGATACATGGAGTTGCGCGCAAGAAGCACGATTCGCTGATGATACCTCTATGGAAGACTTAGCAGGATATTTTGAAAATTTAGTTTACATCCCCAAAAAAATGTCCCCCATGGCGGAAATGATGTACACTTAGTCCTCATTGGCTGAATTTTATCAAGATATACAGCAGTTATACGTTACACATTGTCTCAGGATTGCTTTATACAACACGTCACATGACCTAATTATCATATCCTCCTACAGTTTACGCTCTTTGTAGCTGCATCTCTTTGACTTGGCTATCGTCAAAAACATAATTATGAATATAGGCTGGCGTATGTATCAGTACTGATTTTGCAGCCAACAACTTAATCGGAAATGAATACGCAAGAATTCTGAATCAAATTTCTTTTCTGCAAAGTCTGATCACGCCTGAGAAATTGTATAAATATGTAAATTTTACTGATTAGGTTCTGATGCAATTACTGCTCTGTGTCTATAATAATCCAGTACACAATACAGGCAGTTGTTGATGCAATTACTGCTCTGTGTCTATAATAATCCAGTACACAATACAGGCAGTTGTTGATGCAATTACTGCTCTGTGTCTATAATAATCCAGTACACAATACAGGCAGTTGTTGATGCACTTCAATTACTGATATGCTTCAGGTGGTGATGCGGTGATACAATACACTGGCAGATCATATAAATTTGACGATGATCACTGACAGTGTTCTCGCAGGAAACGTTCCTCACAGATCTGCCAGTTTGCAGTTAATTACCTCTATTGTATTCGTTGTTACGGTAATTGTACTTGAATTATTTATCCATAAGTGTGCACTATAGAGGCCCAATTCTATGTATTCAGTGAAGAACATGGATTTATTTCAATGGTAAGATACTCAGTGTTATTTTTCTAAACACTAACAGGATTTTTGTAACACTGACGTATCACAGCACGATGTACGATCTGTTAAGGCAGCCTTTCCGAATATTATTTGTACAGCAAATGCGTCATTTAGGACTGAATAGATTGAAGTTATATACATGCTATTGTGAGATGCATTTGTATATACTGGGTCAATACTGTATTTACTCCATTAGTAGCGCATGTAACAAGTGCTTCTATTGGATTGATGTGCTTTTAATGGGGCAAATTACGGTATGCCCAATGTCAATGACCTTTCAATAGTTATGTACCTAATATCGTTAAAATCCTGACGTACTGTAATCCGTGACATATTAGCTACCTGAATAGGGTTCTCCCCAGAAAAACAGCATAGAGTATCGAATAATTAACATAACAATACCATATTTTAATTAACTATTGTATTCATTGTTATGCTAAATATACTCTATTGTTATACTAAATTGGTTCTATTGTTCATCCAAAATTAAACAGTTGGAAACCCCTACTCTATAATGCCCTGGGAAGAACCTTGCTGAAATATTGATAATGGTTGCTTAGATGTTACCGGTACTGTCTAGAAATAGCTATGTGAATTTTTTGTAAAATTTTGCGAAATTAAATTTGGGTAAAGTGTTATTTTTATGCTGATCATGCATCTATTTTCCTAACATGACTGTCATTCACGTCGTGTTTACAGATGCATACTTGTATATACAATGAATTACAATTTACAGTTGTGAAAATTGACAACTCCAGTCACAAAGTGTATTCTTTTTTGTTTTCAAAATACCCAAGCATCATGGGCACCATGCTTGAATGGCCTGAGAGACAAACACTGCAGCCACTTGACAAGATTGTTTAATTCGCCAATGCAGCTTAAAACTATTATGGTTGTAGCAATTATTGAAATAATGAAAGTAAACTGCAGATACTGGAGAATCTCATGTGACCAATCCAGGCTACTAATCGCAAAACTTTATCCAGTGTTTTTTTTTTATTCATACGTCAACCCACCTTGAGTATTTTCAACTCGTTTAGCCTTTTCACCATCAGACTTACCTAAATTTTTCTGAACATTTTTCTTATATTCTTCATTATTTCTGGAAATGAATAGGAAACTGGTGGTGAAAAGGTTGAGTAAATAGTATTCTACATGAAATATTTACAGGTCATGGTAAACTGGTTTTCAAATGACTCAAATAAAAAAAAAAAATTAGTTCTGTTTGGTTTAAAATGGTGTCACTAGAGAATGTTGTATTCAGTACTTGAACTACAGTACTTGGCTAAATTTTTTTTTTCTTCAGAAATTGTAATTATGAAGTTTTAATAATCTGATCAGATAAGTTGCTATTTATCTCCCTCACAATATGTACGAACACCCGTTTGGATATCAAAAGTTTCACTATTTTTGAAAAAAAAAATAATGAAAAAAAATGTTTTTAAATATGAAAATAGTGAATTATTGAATTCCATGACCATTCTACATAACAAACCTGCAATTTCAATTCAAGCACCCTGTCTTCATTTTAAATTCAAATACCTAAATTCTGGTGTTTTCACTGCACTCTGTGTATCCCTCATGAGAATGCTTGTGTCCAGGAGCATCAGCTTGTTGGAATAGAAAATGCCAAAGTTGAACAAATATTGCTGGCATTTCAGAGAAATATTGCATGGGAAATTGATAACAAATAGCGGTTTACTGCTCAGTTTATTTTGTTGTTCACTGTCAGACTTTCAGAATGATATCAAAAGTGTCAATTTGATCTATTTATGAATAATCTCAGAGTTCCACTTTAGTGGGTTGTGGTTGCAGTGATTCATTATGCAAATGTATACAATGCATGTGAAATTTGATCACTAGCTGCACGACTATGATGACAACGAAGAGTGCAACAACTACTCAATTATGACTTTATATGTGTAGCTTCACTCTGGTGGTCAGTATCATTTACTGCACCCTGAAAACAACTCAATCTATACTTGAAGCAATACCGGGTACTTCAGTTATCGCTGACAAGAAACTGGTTATCTATGACAGATGGTGGCAGTAACATGGCTATGTTCAAGCTCAGACAACTAATAAATTATTAGTTGTGTGAGGATAAAGCGGGGGAGTCGTCACATGTGCATGCTTCAGATGGCCATAGCGTGTCATTGTTTACAAACAAGCATCTACTCATAAACCTTTGCATTTTTAGCGTGTGTTATCGGCGCTTGGGACTCAATTCCACTGTGTGCGCAGGTGACGACCCTCTCGCTTTAAGTAAATATATTCACCCCATATTCTACATGTAATTTAATTATTATTTCCACAAATACTAAGAAGCACCTGTTACTTTAAAGCATTTATGGGTGAAAACACTGAAATAATTTTTGTACACACACTGACCACAAATATATTTACTAGTTTAACGCCGACTTCTGGTGATTCTAAAAGACTACAATTGTTCTGTAGGAGTTGCAGATTTGCTTTTCTTTGCTGTTAATCATAGAAATAGCAAGCCAGTATTCAGGAATTATTTTGACCTACCTAGGTGGTCTTTTCATAATTTTAATATTATGTAGATTGTCTCATTTTGTTTACCCTTATCTGTAAAAAAAATGTTTAAATAAATTAACATCTACTTTGATTCACTAGATGTGTACCTGATTTCTTGTTGTCCTTTGTCATAATTGTCTACTGGATTCAGCTGGGTAACTAACACATACTTCAAAGTGAGCAATGCTCCAACAATATGGCATTGATTCCTGCTCATCTGTAGGACTAGTATAACTATAATCCTGCTTAGTTATACTAATTTATGGTGCTCTAGTTTAGATATACAACATGTTTTTTGTCAATCGCATCATTTCGCAACATAACTATGTACCCGTATGTCAACCACAGTTGCATGTAGTCTGAGTGGCCGTTTTCAGTTGTGCTTGTTTACTGATGGTACATTAGAAGAAAAAAATTGCCAAAGCGTTCTCGCAGTTAAAATTGCATAACAGTGGTGTTTAAATGCATAGAGTGATACAATGTAAATCAGAAAAAAGAAACTGGAAAGAAAATGTTCTCATACGGAGGAAGTTAAAAGATTGCACCACGAGATTCAAATTGAAAACCTTTATTCTGTTTCAAGAAAAAAATTTGCGAGGATTCCTTATCTGATTTGGTGAGCAAAATGTGACTCACCAAATTTTGCACACCACATATCCAACCTCACATTTTTATTTTATAGTCTATATATTGATCATTGGATGGTACCTCACAGATTTTCAAAGTGAAATGTAACCTTGCGAGGAGATAAACAACGTACGTCGCATATATTTATAATGTTACTAGTAATTTTATGTATATCTGAATCGGGAATTCTCTATGACATGGTACATTTGATTCTAAAAATAAACTGGTCACCTGACCAACTACTATTGCACGACCATTTCCAGATGTATCAATCCCCTTTGTTAAAGTAATTCTCATAACGTATTCCGAAATATGACCATTTTCACTTTGCATTATAAAATCACATTTCAAAATATTTATATGAGAAAATTATCAGTAACATCCAATAATTCTATTTTTACAAACCAGTTTTATATTTATTGATAACAATGCGGAAGGATATAGATAAAGTAGTTCTTGTAAAGGAAACAAAACCTTTTTCTGGCTTTGCGATTGTTGAACGGTTGTTGGAATTGTACCTATTTTACTGTGATAATTATCTTGAATTTATCAAGGTTTTGTAAGAACAGACTACATATATTGCGATTCTATTTGAATACCTCAAAATGGGTGTCGTTATGCAGAGAAGGCAGAACGACCCGACATGCTGCTTATTCCTCCATGTTCGAACTGGGACGATTTTTATAGGAATGTTCCATTTGGTAAGTGTGCATCAACTATTATCAACATCTACTCGACTTTTAACGAGCATTGTCACTACAAATTATGGAAATACAGTTTTGTTGTTGTTTCCACTGTAGAACAATTGCGTTTGGGTGATTTGTTATAAGAATACGTGGTATTAAAAATCCAAGATGGCGGACACGTAACAAAAACAAACATCGAAAATGGTACATAATATTAATAATAATATTTATTCGCCTTTGGACCGGAAATGCTTACAAGTCAATTAAAAAAAATAACAAAATTTTCAGTTGATTGTCTCATAATTTGAATTAAACTTTGCCTTACAATGGATAAATGAAAAAAATCAAAACTTCAATAATTTATTTTGTATGCATATTTATTAATATTTTTATCAATAACCTCATATAAATACAACATGCGTCATCACAAATAAAAATTGGACTAGTGATGTGTTGCAGCAGGCCGGCTGTTGCCATGCACAATATACATACGTAATCCTGCCAGAGTGATTCATTTGATGTTTTATTCACAGTGTGGATTTAGTCTACCTGGGACCATGGTTACTAAAAAAGACGGTTAGGAAACGAACCATGTTCTTTTCATTGGATGCGTGTCGCGGGTAAACATTTGAAACAAAAGACGTACTAATCTGTGATAAATCATTAATATAAAATGTAGACAGGAAATCACGCAAACATGATGTCATTTTTCCCCAGAGTTCATTGCAATCAACAACTGCACGCCATTTTATTGTGTCTCTGTCGATACTTTCAGTAATACTAAAGTGTAAGTTGTTCCAGTGAATCCTGACAAAACCTGTCGCTCGGTTTAATACAAATTTGCCTTGGTCGTATGGCATTTTCGTTTCTAAATAACAAGATCGGCAGAAAACTGAAATAAAAAAACCAACAAAACATGATCAGAAAAAAATCAAGTGAATGACACAAAAATGAAACAAAATGGTGGGTCTTGAAATCTCAAGCAATAGAGGGCGGCGTACACAGCACGACACGCATCCTTGAGGGATTAGGCAGATTCACATCTTTTAACAATAGCGTTTTCTAACCGTCTTTTTTAGTAACCGTGCTGGGACTGAATGATAGCATTACAGTGCATGGTACATATAAAACAAACAAGTTTTCTCGTTTACAAGATCTTACTGAAATTAAAACAGACATTATTTCCTGTTGAGCATTGTGAAACTAATTAAGTGTGGTCAATATGCATGTAGATCAAACAGTGTTTTCTTTGATTGTTCCCAATTCATCGAACGACATCATTAATAATTAATCACATTACATCATGCTTAATAATGTAATTTGTGAACTAGCTGTAATATTGTTGAATGCATTTATTAATCTGATTAAAATTAGCAGTTATGTGTACTCAGTTGCTTTCAATTACATTACTTACTCAATTAGTAGCATGTACTTATGCAAATGAAAGAGCTGTATCTACATAATTATATTTTAATAATCAGTTGCATATTGAGTACAATTTTTGGATCTTGTGAACTTCTATTTCAAGCACTTTAAGTTCTAGTACTGGTAACTGTGTTTCAAGCCATTGTTCTTTCTCCATTCTGGTGATACATTATTGGCAATATTTAACATTACAGTCTGATGCTTAGTCACTGTAGCCATTATTTTAAATACTAAGTAAATAACCTGTTTTCAGACAGTCTAGAAAATTATACAAATGTATCGTCCTTTAGAAAACATTCAGTTTGCCGTAGGATCAACAGAAAAATAAAACAAATGCATCGCTTAGTAGTAAATGATCACTGTAGCGAAATCCGGTCATGCTGCGTTCCACAGTTACGGTTATTACTCAGTAGTAATTATAATAACGTACAAAAAATTAAATGCAAGTAAAATTCAACTTAAATTTCATTGTAAGCGAATGATTCTGGTGGCATGTAAATGCTTGATGTGATACCATATCTGCCATGCTTCTTGCTTGTGTTCTTTGACCTAATGGGTCAAGTCGTTAGTAAGCAATCAAAATGCTGGATGATGCCAACGTGATCAAATTACCATAGCTCAAATAATGTATGTTGATGTATGAATGCAACATGGAAGAGATTTGCAGATGTTTGCGATCATTTGGCTTTGATTGTGGTGGGGAAATGGCATAATTTTTTTTTTTTTCAAATCAAGAAATTAGTTATTTTTGGAAAGTTAAACTGAGCATTTAAAGAATAATTTAACATTGTTTACTGTAATAACAGCTCATTTGAAACAGAACATTTTCGCGTAGTTTTAATTTTGTGTTTATGGACTGTGATTCGCTAAATTAAAAACCACGCGAATATTTTCTACTTCTACAGTAGACCAAAAAGACATGTTTCAAGAGATTATAGACTGATTTCCTAAAATTTGTTAGAAACAAAACTAATTTTTTTGCATAAAAGCCAATCTTACAGTAGCAGTGAGGGACTTCTGTGATTGTATCTATCGCTACTAACCGGTAACCGATAGTAGATCCACCGGCGCCCAATTCACGATCATTACTTGCCAAAATTTCAACTTTGTCTGGCGCTTAATTGGGGTGTAAAATACGATGTTTTATGACACTGGCACCTAATTGAAGGTGACGCTTAACTGAACACAAATACGGTAGTTTGATTTGGTCTGAACATAGTGTGAAAATCATACCAATCAAGGTATTTTTTTTATTTGGTACGGGGTTTCCTTACAAGGAAAATTCTGCAAAAGTGACATGTAGCAACTGCTACTAACATTGCACATCCTCAATTAAAAAAAATATTGTTCATAGAATCATTAAAAGACTACCTTGTTGGACCATAGACTTAGACTGGCATTCATATAAATATGATACAAGGTATTCATTTCTTCCAATTTTAATTCTAAAGCATCTGTGCGTGTTTTTTTCAAGGTAATGCAAATGATAGCCATGGTATTTATCGGCTATATGATTGTGTTTTTTGGTTCATCAGAAGTTGAAGTTGACGTAGAGGTTGATGTATTCAATGATCTGGAGTATAAGAAGACAACATGTGAGTCATTTTTTTTATTTAGATTTCATCAGCTTTGGCCATATAAATGTATGTCTCCATTATTTTGAATGAGTATATTGTGAGCATTTTCTGAATGAGTAAATCTGCCTGAGCCCTGCTGCTGTCGACCACTTGTGACAACGGGGAATGTACAAGCTGATTGTCACTCTTTGACATGCTGATGAAGATTGTATCATCAAAATATTTCAAAATATGCATGCATTTGAGTTGAGAGGGCACCCATTTTCAAATCAGAATTTGATAAAAATTACCTGGCATTATATTGGAAATATTGGAAATAATGAAAGGCACCAAGGTTAGACTCGTTAGTCTTCAAGGCAATTGTCTTTGATACATCCGTGAAGTTCAAGCCCTTAAGTTATAATTAATAATGGTCGTATATATATATTTTGACTTGCATTTTGGACTGACACTGGGGAAAAATTGTTTGTGGGTCATCTTAGCTTTTAATTAATTAATATCTATCTTTTGTTAACTTTTGTTGCTTTTACTGTTTTATTACAGCTGACATGTCTGTTGCTTTGGTCATTACATTCTGTATGTTCATAGTGACATGTATGATGATATGTGGTGCTTTGAAGGTAAGTCTATAATTTATTCTGTATAAATACTTTGTACAAAAGACAAGTAAGATAAGAATATGTGACTTCGCTTTGTATGATCTGCAAAAACCTCTCACTGAACCATGTAAGCATCATACAGGTTGTCAATTTTGCTCACTTCATGAGAAATCTAATTCAACAGAATCCTGGAATTAAATTTAGATGCGTCTTCATAAATAAAGTATCCTTGGGTAATGAAAAGTATTTTTGATTTGTTAAACAAAACAACCTTCAGGCTAGCTTCAGTATTTCAGGATTTAATTTTTCATGGTGATCACTATAATCAGTGGGAGGTTGTTCTGCATATAATACAATTTTGGAATGCAATTTTAATATCTAGGTTTATGCAGTGATAATCAATGATGATCTCACAATAGTATCGTCATCAGATCGCAGTGGATGCTTGGAAATGTTCACTTGCGTTTACTGACATTATCCCTTTTTTTAAAACGCAAATTTCACATAGTTTATTAAATTTACAAATATAAACAGGTTGTGCAACTTACAACTGAGCAATAAGTGAACGCTTACCAGCTCGTCAGTTTATTTTAGCTGATTGCATACAAGAAATGTTCATTTGATACATTCTTTCAGTGTTTGTTGTTTTCTAAGATGTGTTAAACAAAAGATAATTCTAAGCTTTTCTTAATTGCAGCACCGTGCTGGATATTTACTGCCATTTTTCTGTCTACAACTGTTTGACTTTGTACTCTCATGTCTCACTGCAATTGGCTGGTTTACTTATTACCCTGAAAATGATGAACAGGTAATGTAGTATTATTTGTGTGAAGGCTGGGGGGAGCCATAAACATGATGCTCTTAGAATTTTCCCCAGGCTTCTAGCTTTACTGCTGCTTAGGTCTACAAATCTTGTGCTTTATGTAATTTGATAAGTAACGTGCATTGTTCTCTATAATACGAAATAGCTAGTAGGGCAGCCTAATTAGTGCTTGATGGGTGGGCCTCCCATCTAACACCCATTGTGAAGAACACTGGCAGGTCACAGGTCATATTCTACATTCATTTTGTGTCACAAACTCATCATCTGTTATGCAACAATAATGAGTTTTGAACAATGAGCCACTACAGTTAAGTTTATTGAAAGGGTTTATACCGTACTCATTTGACTTAGCTCACAAAATCGTGTCAAGCACCCTACTCGAAAAATTGGCCAATTCTTTTAATTTTTTGAAATGAGTTGCATCATTGATTTCCATGACACATTTACAATGACAAAACAAAAATTATCAAAAAAATATGTGCCTTATTATTTACATACCGTCAGAATTCAGTGTAAAATTATTACGGTCTGTGGGAAAACGATCAAAGTCGAGAGATTCATAATTATCTTTGTTAAAAGTTTTTGATTGTACACAATCTCAATACAATTTTTATTTGACCTGCAACACCATCCTTTGACCTGATGGGTCAAGTCTGTTATTAACCAATCAAAATGCAGCATTGTAACAACATAATTCTCCGGGAAGGCATTCTGGTAACGCAATGCAGAAGTGAACAAAAGATTTTGAAGTACAATCTGTACCGGCATGATTTTTCTTTAAAAACTTGGAATTAGCAATTTTTAAAAGGTGCAGTAAAAATGGAATAAAGTATTTACTGAAGGTAAAGGCTTCAACTGGTCAAGTTTAGTTTACGAACTGTTACCGGGGTCTACGCATTCATGTGATATTCATGACGATCAAAATCCATGCTCTTTTACATAAATTTGATTACAGGTATTGGGGAGAAATGTCTAGACAGTCCAAACATGATCCCGAAAACAGAAAATCCCCCAAAGTCGGAGGGGGGTGCTAGGTGAAGCATGGAGTCGGATGAGTATAGGGTAGTTGTGCTTTTCAAGGCAAAAATCTTAACACTCAAATTATTTATTAATTTATTTTGTCAGGAACAAATGATATTCATATTGAACAGGGATCTGTTTTGTCAGATGTGGGGTCTGGTTATGAAAAAAGATTTTTGACTCCCATGTGCGGAGCACATAATGGGAGTCTTTGCAGTTAGTGTGTCTGTGTGTGTGTGTGTGTGTCCGACTGTTCCACTGCTATCTCAAGAACCATACATCGGTTTTTGATGAAACTTGGTGCATAGATGCTCTGGGCCAATGCGCAGATTTGGTTAGATTTTGGTGAAAATCCATGCTCGTTAATTACCTAATTTGCATGATAATTAGCTAATTTTTAGCTGTTCTATGACTGTTCCACTGATATCTAAAGAACCAGTCATTGGATTTTGATGAAACTTGGTACATAGATGCTCTGAACATATGCGCAGATTTGATTAGTTTTTGGTAAAAATCCGTGCATATTAATTACCTAATTTGCATAATTAATTTTCAGCTTTTCTCCTGATATCTAAAGTACTAATCATCACATTTCAATGAATCTAGAATTATGCAGAGACCTAATTAGTTTCGGTAAATATTTGTGCATATTAATCACCTAATTTGCATAATTAACCAATTTCCAACTTTCACACTATCTCAGGTACTAAACATCACATATCAATGAATGTTTGTACATGGATGCTGTAGGACAATAGACAGACCTGGATAATTGTGGGTTAAAATCTGTACATATTAATTACCTAATTTGCATAATTAATCAATTTTAAGCTTTCACACTGATATCTAAAGTACTAATTTCCATTTTAATGAAACTTAGTACAAAGATGCTCTAGGACAATGTACAAACCTAATTAGTTTGGGGAAAAATATGTTCATAATAATTCATAATTTTTTGGTTCTAATCACATTTCAATTAAACTTGGAAACATAGATTTTCTGTTACATTGCGCAGGCCTCATTAGTTTTACACTCAAATCTGTTCATATTAATTTTCTGATTTGCATAATTAGTTTTCAGCTAAGTAATTTCGAATTATATTTAATGTGTCTCCAATACTCTCAGCACATGGGAGTTCTTTCTAAGCTTTCTTTGATTAGAAACAGCATCTACAAGTACATTTTTGGCACAGTTGCCTTTATTTTTTAGTTAAATGGCAAACGGTGCTCAAAACATCTAAACTTTATTTCTTGATTTCAGAGAACCACAGTTCTAAAAATGTCTCTTGTAACCTTAGTTCACACATGGACATCCTATGTATTTGTTTGTGGACATTGTTGTGTAAATATTTCATGATTGTTTATTGCTTGTTTATTTAACACAGAGCTTCCCAAACAATATTGACTGGTTCAAATACAACAATCAAATGAAACTGGAGGATTATGGCATTGATGGTCAGTGGACTATTCTTATTTTCCTTATCCTGTTCCTGGGAATTATGACAGTGAAGGTGAGATTGATACACCACATGGTGATATATCCTCTCCACAACATTTTATGTAACATAAATAGTGAAATGGATAACTGTTGTGGTATTTTTGAGTACCTCTTAAAATGATCCTTTCTGTACAAGAAAAAACGGAGCAACAGCATTGCAACATATAAACACTGTTTTGCTAGCAATATTGCAATACTGCTTCTCAAGAGAAGAAAAAAGCAGGAAAAAAAGAAATCGCTACTGATGTTTACACATACATCTGTAACCCCAGACTTGCTGGTGTTTTTGCCCAGTGAATTCACCATTTAACTAATGGGAAAGCACTGCTCAGCTGAGTTTGCCTAGGCTTGGCATGCTAAAAATAACAAAAGAAAAAATTTAGAGAAATAAAAATACCTTATTTCCCAGTCAACATGTAAAATCAAGGAAAGTAAAATGTGGGCTTATACCCGAGGACCACCTCAATAAAAATTTGCTTCTTTTGGTTCAAGAACAAAGCACTTTTTACACACATATTATAATAAATGTTGACACCCGGTTGAAAGACCCTGGGCCTATAGCTGGGGATGCCTTCAACTTGTTAAATGTCTAAGAATATAGGGGCATACCCAGGGAGGGGCCTTATGACTGGGGAAGTACAGTGATACAAACATGATTGCCATGCCCCTCATTGATCTTACACCAAAAGTAAATGAGATGTTCCCAACTTGAATATTGGTGCGATCAGAGCAAAGTACTTCATAGCCTTTTCAACAAGAACATGGAAATGATCCAGTTTATGATTAAATATGGCGTAGATGAAAATGCAACATGCAGAGTTGATGAAGTAGATATTTCTAAAATCGTAGTCTTGCCTTCCTAGTTTTTTAGTGAAATGCACAACTTTTTATGCCGGACAGCACCGGTGTGTCAATCAACCTATTAATGACCAATTCAAAATATACATCTACCGTATTTTTGTTGTATTGCACTAAATGAACTGGCAATAAAAATTGTAATCGAACATTATACCAAAACAAAAAATGAAACTGAGCAATTAATCGGAATGGGCTATTCTCTAACCTTTTGGTTTGGTTTTAGTTGGCCTATATAAATTGTCAGTAGATCTTCAAGGGATTTTCTTTGAATTTCCTATGTCACATTTTATGTAAATGTTATCAAAAAAAGCGCCCGTTAACTTGTTCAATACTTTTTCACTGAATTTAATAACAAATATCTACTAGAGCTGATAGCTCCTTTTTACCATATTAAAGGGACTATTACAGTATTAATAAAGGCTAAACCATTCAGCAAAATAGTGATTTGCATTTGTGATTTCTAACAATTAAACTGATCTAATCAGGCTGGTATGAAAATTTTGTTGAAGTTCATGATAAATAAATTATCAGTAGTGTTGGCAAGAATAAACCCATAGCTTGATGTGTATAAAAGAAAAATGGTCATCAGATACCGTGTAGTGTAAATTTCAGTGCATGGTGTTATATCTGGCCAAAGTGCTCTGGGAAATCATACATTTTATTTTTGATTGTATACAGTTATGCATATATGTAGAATACGATCTAGATCTACAGTTCAAAAAAGTTAGTCCTTAAGGATTTTGAAATAACCCCCCCCCCCCCTCCTTTGAAAAAAAAATTACGCAACTATTTTGGAAAAATAAAATTGTAATCATGTTTGAGTGCCGACAATATACACTTACCAATATATTATCACTTGCATGTATCTAGGCTTACTTCATATCCTGTGTATGGGCCTGTTACAAGTATATTGTCTGCCGTGATGCAGTCCAAATGACTGGCACTTCTGAAGATACTGAGGTAAGTTATAACCCCACATAGTTGCAATCAAAATCTACAATTGCTTTCAAAATCAAATATGATTGAGATAAAGACAAAGAAAAGATACTTAACAATACAATCACATACAATAAAAGTAAAAATGATACATTAAATTATAAAAGTGTACATAAACTGGGATTCAAATTTAGCAGGGATCTTGGATGCAGGATCAACCTGGAACTTTGCCTTCAAAACGACACGTGCGGCAAGCAAAACTTACAATTATGAATTCATATTGCTACTGGGACATTTAATACAATTTCAAATGTGATCCTAACAAAAAATCTCAGTAACACTGATACAAATGCAGAATGGATGGACGTTTATCATGGTTTGGATTATGCAACTCAAGTAAACATGATTATTATTATTTCTTGCTTTACAGGCTTTACTTGCACCTCCGGCCTATGCCACTGTTGTTAAACTGCCCCCAGATGTTCCAACACCCCCACCATACCAACCATAAGTGATGTCGGAGAAAAAAAGCTGAAAAGCAGGCATTGAACGCCTGAATGATATTTACAAGATTACTGGCTTAAGATCTGGTGGCATGGATAGGAAATGGGATTCAATAAATATATTTTAACACATTTATGAAGTTTTTGGTAAAAGGTTGTTTCACTATAAAACCATACAGCGATATGTTACTGTGATGGTTTATTCTAAAATTGTATGAAGAAGACAGGGTTGATGTTTTTGTGATTATCTAGCACTTACTGCCATCACCAGATGGCGCTATTTTTACTTCTGGGAATTGCTGTAAGGCATGTGATACTATAATCTCATTAATTATTCACTAGATTATATTTTTCGCTGCTAACTGAAATCTGCTATAATAATCCCGTGTATCAGTGCACTGTTCTCTTGCTGTGAATTAAACTATGAAAATTAATGCTTTGACAGTATTTGTTGAAAAGCAGGGAAAACATTTATTCCATGCACTTAAATATGTATATGATAAATTGCACTTCTTCATGACAAAAATCTTTTTATGTAATCCATTATTGACACCATATTTGCTGTATTAGTAACTTGTATGCTCGCCAATAGATCATTTTGTTGTGTATATGCATAATTGCCTCTCTAATAGAACAAATATGGTAATTGTTGTAAAATCTACTCCTGCAATTTTTACAAAAAAAAATGCTTTATATGAAGCTTTCTGTTGGCTTGTAGTCAAAGAAATATGGTGTGGATGCACTTAACGAATTCTTGGCATTTATTGAATATGAATTTGCAGTCTTAAGTACAATAGTTTAATATTTTATTGTCAGTAAACACCAGTCTGTGTAATGTTTGTATAAAGCATTAAGAGCTCAGGTTAATGAGCATTGTGTAATTGGTCATGATGAAAACTCAGTTGAAGACTTTCTGAATCTGGCATTGTAATTTTT